TTACTCTGGCATCGAGACAGCGAAGTTGCGACTCTTGACTGTGAACCTCTACAGACTCTGGAAGTGTTGCTGCCAATCCATTGACTGGTTATACTGTCCATGAGTGGGTGGCAGCTCTTCATGGGATGCCTTTCGGGAGAAAGCGGCGCAATAGATCGCATAAGATAGCAGACATCCTTTCCGTATTATGCCACTCACAGTCGGGGAGATTCATGACGGGGGTAGCGTAAGGATGAAGAAAATGCTTGAGTTCTGTACTATAAGCTCATCAGGTAGTGGCTCCATGACTATACAGTGCTAGAGCTCAGAAGATAACAGAATAACTATATGTGTAGAGAAAGAAGTCTTCTTATTTTGGTGTAAAGAGAATGGGATGTAGAAGCGTGAGTTATGCATTGGCCTATGAGCTGCGGAGACATGATACTGTCTAACAATCGCGGAACAGGTCCCTACACGGGAATGCGTCTAGTGTGTTGCGTGGCATTCAAGCCTTGGGTGTGTGGGCATTTCTCCGAATATACTTCCAAGGAATGTGCGACGATCGCTCTGGCCCTCTGTCTTCCCACCCTGGAGCTGATGCAGCACCCTGATACTCGCGGAGTATGACCAGTGGAAGCAGCGAATGAGCATGACGCATATCCACTGCGCTTCCCCAACCTACTAGGCAAGGAGGATGATAGCATTTCCGGCAAGGTCTCCTCACCTCAATCGAGGGAAAGCTCGAAGACCCGGAAGCCTACAACGACGCTACATCCGCTCATTTGCGTATTGTTGTCCTGATGTAGGTCTCAGTCCTATTCGCCTTTTCCTTGTATGAAGTGTCCTCTCCATCTAGATCAAGGAGTGCTTCTCCCTTGTCCTGTTGTAATGTATGGGTACGCGCGATCGCAGCAAGGAGGTGTTGTAGGGGCGGAACGTTTCGTTTCGGATGCGTGGTGGAAAGTCGTGGCTCGGTGTCGTAAATGTGGGCGGGTGAGCCTAGAGGACGATGTAGCGATAGCTCCTTGAAGTCTTCGAACCCTTGACATTAGCCATCGTCATTTGTGCATCATACTATACAGGATCCTGCTAATGGTGTGAAAAGAACAGCCCAAAATGGCGAATACATCGAATACGGCGAGGGTTAGATCCTACTGCGTATGTTCATGTCCTTCCGATGCACATGACCTCGCTTCATAGAAGAAGAAATCTGAACAGGTCTGCAGCCTACATTGGGGTAAAACTTTGCAAAGTAGGTGAGCCAACGTCAATGTAGGCTCCACGATGTTCAGACTTGCTCCCTCCTTAAACAAAGCGGCCCGTGCAAACAAGCTGAGTGTCATGTCTTTGGTGGCCAGCAGGATTGTCGGTGAAGCTTTGGGAGTCTACCATTCCGAGGAATCAGACTGAAACGCTTGTACCGTGTCGGGATGCCGATAGATCCCCTCGTAGCGGGGTTCCTTTGAGCAAGGCCACTGAGTGATGTAAGGGGCAGTGAAATTTCCAACTGCGGTACGTCCGGCAAGGGGCGGCGTTGAACAGCTCAAAGGATGGTTCCACGATAGTTGGGTCCTCTGATACTGGGCGTCTGCGATAGCGCGTGTGAGTCAAACCAGACCCATTGTTCTGGCTCCATAAGCATCAATGCCCAAGGTAGCGGTAAAAGCAATAGAGGGAGTGGCTAGCAGCGGAGAAAGGAAATTGAACACGGTGGTGTGCAGGATCTGGGCGGTACCATCGACAAGGCCACAATAGACTCCGCTTGTAGTGGGGCTGGGTACACGGTATGATGGCAATCTCAGTACCCCGCCAAAAGTTTTGCAGTGCGGCAAAAGTGACACCGAGGTGGTTTCAGCGCAAAGGCTGCATGTTGGATTATTTTCCAGGTAAAGTCAATCGGGAATGAAGGTAACAATCGAGCCTTGTGCAAAAGCAAAAGCTGTAGCGCGTAGGTGACGCGGGTCAACTGGAACGAAAAGGGCTGATGGACAGCAATGACGATGCACCAAAAGACTCGCGTGAGGCAACTGCGGCTGTGGCGAGCTCACAGTAGGCGGTCAGGGCGGTTGGAAGGGCTCCATGGCATGTGGGCCAATGAAGAGGACCCGTTTTGCCTCTTTCACAGTCGAATTCGTTGCAAGTGAAGGAGTTTTCGTAGCCCAACGGGGGGCTAGCGCCTAAAACTAGCACGGACCCACTCAGCCCTCCAAGTATATTAGCAACACCCAGCCCCTCCATCGCTCACTTTTTCTTCTTCGTCCAACTCATACCTTACACCGCGCGCTGTAAATCTGAGTATCAAACAACTTCCCCTCACCACCACCAAAGCAAACTACACAACACCGCCATCATGGGGTAAGTTATCTCCCCCGCCTTCTGCCCCAAGTCTCTGGAGCCTCAACATCGCCCACTCCAGCAGCCTAGGCCGCCACCTCCACCCTCAGTACAGCTCACTAACAATGTCTGCAGTAAGGAGAAGATGCACATTAACGTGGTCGTTATCGGCCACGTCGACTCCGGAAAGTCCACCACCACCGGCCGTAAGCCCTCCCTCTCCGAACGCCTGCGGGGTCACACAACTTACAATGGGATACAGACTTGATCTACAAGTGCGGTGGTATCGACAAGCGTACTATCGAGAAGTTCGAGAAGGTACGGCATCACTCTCCTTTCACATGGGCATTCGCAACCACCTGGTGCACCTTTGAGCGCTCAGCCATTTCCGGCTTATCGCGATGAGGGGCATTTTTGGGTGGTGGGGTTGTGCGAACTTTTACGCGCTAGCGCTAGTCCGCATGCGGCTTTCGCGAACCCCAACACCATGACGCACATCCAATTTTCCCAATTCGGCTTCAGTCTGCTAACAGGCCTCACAGGAAGCCGCCGAACTCGGAAAGGGTTCCTTCAAGTACGCATGGGTCCTCGACAAATTGAAGGCCGAGCGTGAGCGTGGTATCACCATCGACATTGCTCTCTGGAAGTTCGAGACTCCCAAGTACGTATTCACCCATCATCATCATGCGAGACATTATTAACCAGCAATAGATACTACGTCACCGTCAGTATGTGCTACCATCGGAATCTTCTCATCACGACCTTCAATCGCTGACAATCTGATTAGTTGACGCCCCCGGTCACCGTGATTTCATCAAGAACATGATCACTGGTACCTCCCAGGCCGACTGCGCTATTCTCATCATTGCCGCCGGTACTGGTGAGTTCGAGGCTGGTATCTCCAAGGATGGCCAGACTCGTGAGCACGCCCTTCTCGCCTACACCCTCGGTGTCAAGCAGCTCATCGTTGCCATCAACAAGATGGACACCACCAAGTGGTCCGAGGAGCGTTACCAGGAGATCATCAAGGAGACCTCCAACTTCATCAAGAAGGTCGGCTACAACCCCAAGCACGTTCCCTTCGTCCCCATCTCCGGCTTCAACGGCGACAACATGATTGAGGCTTCCTCCAACTGCCCCTGGTACAAGGGTTGGGAGAAGGAGACCAAGGCCAAGGCCACTGGTAAGACCCTCCTCGAGGCCATTGACGCCATCGACCCTCCCAGCCGTCCCACCGACAAGCCCCTCCGTCTTCCCCTCCAGGATGTCTACAAGATTGGAGGTATTGGCACGGTGCCCGTCGGTCGTGTCGAGACCGGTATCATCAAGGCCGGTATGGTCGTCACCTTCGCCCCCGCTGGTGTCACCACTGAGGTCAAGTCCGTCGAGATGCACCACGAGCAGCTTGTCGAGGGTGTCCCCGGTGACAACGTCGGCTTCAACGTCAAGAACGTCTCCGTCAAGGAGATCCGTCGTGGCAACGTTGCCGGTGACTCCAAGAACGACCCCCCCAAGGGTGCCGAGTCCTTCAACGCCCAGGTCATCGTCCTCAACCACCCTGGTCAGGTCGGTGCCGGTTACGCACCAGTCCTCGACTGCCACACCGCCCACATTGCTTGCAAGTTCTCTGAGCTCCTCGAGAAGATTGACCGCCGTACCGGAAAGTCTGTTGAGAACTCTCCCAAGTTCATCAAGTCCGGTGACGCCGCCATCGTCAAGATGGTTCCCTCCAAGCCCATGTGCGTTGAGGCTTTCACTGACTACCCTCCCCTCGGTCGTTTCGCTGTCCGTGACATGCGTCAGACCGTTGCCGTCGGTGTCATCAAGTCCGTCGCCAAGGCCGACAAGGCTGGCAAGGTCACCAAGGCCGCCCAGAAGGCTTCCAAGAAATAAGCGCTCTCTTCTTGGGTTGCTTGTTTCTCTTCTTTCGTCTCTAGATACCTGGTTCTGGGGATGTGGTTGCTTCGGAAAAGCTGTGATGACTTTTGAAACGTGTCATGCATAACGGTCTGGGGTCCTGGCGTCGTCCTTCCATAGTTTCCATAATGATCTGAATGAAAACATGGGTGGGATATGAACAATAACACTTCTTCTGCATCGCGACTGACTTGTGGTGTCTTGACTAACCACTTTCTTGGCCATTCCTTCTTACCGCCCTCGACTCAGTCGACCCATGCCATCTTCCCTCATCGAGGTTCACACCTGTGGTGATTACAATTCATGTCGCATTCTACAAAATTATCATCAAGCTAGACGCATACATCAACTCAAACACTGTCTAGTTGTTCAGATTTGATAGCATGTAGGCGGCACGCATTGTAGCTACCCGTAGTGCTCCAGGGACTAAGGCAGGTCTCGTCGCGGACCTGAGCTCAGAAGGGGTTGAGCTTCACCTTTATGACCGCCTTATCCAAGGAAAATGCCGAGCACCCTGGAGCCTACCTTGACGTCGGATCATCTACTTTGCATATTTTCAGATTGATGTAGGCTGCAAACCTGTTCAGGATTTTGTCCTTCTGGGAAGACATGGCCGCGTTGGTGCTTGAGCCAACACCGTGGCTAGTTGATGGCTTCAAGGAACGACCCACTATTTTGGATTTAGCGCTGGCCATCACTCCCAAGGTTACTAACCACATCCAATTCGCCGTTGCTCTACGCCCTCATACCACAATCTCTCTAGAGGAACAATGTCGGCAGATCTTTTTGCAGAATTCGGAGCGGACCCCCCTCCTAGTCAACAGCAATCGCAGCCTGCAGCCGCCAACAGAACAAATGCACCTGCTGCGTCAGACTTCAACTTCTTCAACGGCCTGAACACCGCACCGGCTTTGGCAACACTGTCGCAGCAACCTCCTTCAACGAGCAACACTCAGAATCTCGGGTCGAATTACGCACAGTCATCCACTATCGAAGATAATGACGACTGGGGCGATTTTGAGGGCGGCTCATCCTTCGAGCCCGCTCCTGCCGCCAAACAAGATCCGTTCGCATTTGCACCACCTCCGGCCTCCCAACCGCAATCAAATGCATGGAACATCACCTCAACAACCTACGATCCCTTTGCATTTGCATCGCAATCATCTTCGCAGCCGCTAGAGCAGACATGGAACCGAGCGCCAATCGTGAAGGCCAAGAAATCAGCTGATCCAAGCGTCTTGTTCGACGCGGAGGATGATCTTGATGATGATGACGACTTTGGCGACTTCGAAGGCGAACAAGAGAGTAAGACGCAGTCCACGGCACCCGTGGCATCGTCTTCGGCGATTGTGGACCTACTTGGCGACATGAGCATAGCACAGGCTCAACCACCCAGCACGAGTAGTAGAGATACTGCTAACGCAAGTCGGGGTTCAAAACTTCAAGCGACTACAAGTAAGAAACCTGGCACAGGCTTTGGTGCTGTGGCCAAACCTAAGCAACCCGTGCCGCCACCTGCAGTGGCTCAAGAAGATGACGGGTGGGATGAATTTGACGACTGGGAGGCGTCCATTCCTAGTAAAGCACCGAGCAAACCCGAAGCCGTGAAGTCGACTAGCAATGCCAAAATGAATGTCACACCAGCTCCGATACTTTCCCCTACAACAACAGATCCACAGGCAGGCGAACTACCTCCTACGAACGTGCCACCACCCGGCGTGTTGCTATCGCTTTTCCCTTCTCTCTTCGCCGAAGCACAGGAGAAGTTGTTCAAGCCCATGGCAGCTCAACCTTTGCCCATGCGAAACAAGCTACTGGCTGAGCCCGCGACAATTGCCTACCTTCAGGGCTATCTTATCCTCGGGAATGTCGCGGCGCATATCATTGCAGGCAGGAAACTGCGCTGGAAGCGAGACCAGCATCTATCTCAAGGCATGCGAATCGGCCCAGCGTCATCACGAGCAACTTCGGGGATGAAGTTAACGGGCATCGACAAGGGCGAAAACATGAAAGAAGAGCGAGAGGTTTCCGATGTGGTTAGAAGCTGGAAAGAGCAGGTTGGGCGACTGCGGCATGTCGTGTCTGGCGCAAATCAAATCAAGGCGGGCACTCTAGACCGTGGACCAGACTTGCAAGAGACGATGCCAGTTAAGACACTCAAGCAGTCCGAGGGTGGTATTCCTGCACGACAGCCCTGTATGCTGTGTGGATTGAAACGAGAGGAAAGAGTGACTGCAGCGGACATGGCCACGGACGATAGTTTTGGCGAGTGGTGGATTGACCAGATCAACATGCATCGAGGTGTGTCTATGAAATGGCCGTGATGAAGACGATTGCTGACCCTAGAGTAGGCTGTAGGAACTTCTGGAACCAGCACAAAGACACACTTCGACACCATTGATGACCTGAAGTCCCCGGATATCGAGGGTGAATGCATGGGTACAGCACACGGCATGCACAGGATAAGTGTTCAGCCAATGGTGTCCTCCGGGGTATGCGGAGCTAATCACGGTGGCCGCAACCTGCACGACTTTCTGCATGATGAGCAGAGAATACCGAGGCCTCCATTGAACAAGTGACATCTGTTACTTTCCACATTCACTGTGCATATTGTTGCCAGGTGCCGGTAGTGTGCATAGTGTTGTTCAGGGCATGCTATGACGACATGAACGTCGGTTAGATTGGCGGAACGTTTGCTCTTTGCGCAAAGTAATGGAAGAGGCGGCAGAGCAGCACATGTCAGAAGGAAGGCTAGCGGAGGCTTGTCGGACGGATGATGACAGGTCCGGCTGGGGAAGCTTGTGGCACATGTGGGATGCGCAGCAAGAAGCATTGAACATGGCAAGCATGGTAGACACTAGGTTTCAGCTGGGCAAAGCAGATTTGGAGTCTTGTGCAACCTTGACGTCTAGCGTGCGGTGAGGCAGGCGTGGAGTATGATGATGGTGTCCCGCCCCGGTCTATGGTAGATCAGATCTCTGGTAGCGTCGAGGGCGGGTGCATCGTCTGTGCACTTCGCGGGGCCAGCGTAGGCGCAATGCAAATAACGCCGTTGCCGTCTCAAGTCGCATCCATAGTGCGGGCGACGTAACTACATGCCATTCACTGTACACGCCCACTGATCACCCTTGACTCTAGTCCGCTCCACGCGTCGCATTTCTTACTGAACAGCCGCTGCCGTCGCAGGTGATATCCGACCCAAGCCCCCATCAGCCCTGCATTCCCCGCCAAAGCCTTTGCACCACCGCCCGCCCGCGCATCTTGCACCCGTACCCCAGAAGCGATACCGCCGCCGCCCCCAACGCGACACCGGGTCAGTACACATTGACTTGTGTGCCTGTAGACCAAGACTGGCCCTCTCGTCGTCATTCGCTGCGCGTAGTCTTACCGAGCCGAGACTTGTGCCCAGGCCTGGGAACAGGCGCTCGTACGCCTCAGGGAATGAGCAGGCCAAATGATCATGGTACGTCAAGTGACCCTCTGCCCCGAGTCGTGATGCTCGCGACTGCCTCCACGGCTTCTGCCTCTGCCACCAGCGAGAAATGGCCCGCTTTGTAAGCTTCACCGCTCAATGCACCCGTCGACTGCGAGAGGAACGGCACCGGGCTGCTGCAGTAGATAATAGACACCCGCCTTGCCTGCCACCTGGACCACCTCCTGCTCTTCTGCATGGATCTGCTTGCTGACGCCCTCACCCCGCCAGGCTCTCTACCAGAAGAAGCACCCTTCGACTCGTTCGCACAGTCGCAGCACCTCTCCGAATATGCCCCGCTGGTCAAGACGAAAAGCACATCCAGCCTGCTGAGCTGGCGGACGGGGCCGCCGCCACCCATCGACACGGCCAAGCGCCTGAGCATCGATGCAGGGCAGCTGGACCGCATGGCCAGGTGAGTGCAACGTGCGAGAGGCTGGGCTGGCAGGAGCTTCCTCCGCTTCGTGGCTAACGGCTGACACATGCTCCAGGTCGCCCATTGTGTCTGAGCATGAACACGGCCTAGGCTCTTCAGGCCTGCGTCGCATTCGCCAACAGCCAGGCCCACGGCAGCTGCAGACGACCCAGCGAGCCGCTTCGTTGAACATCGCGACTCCGCCAGTGTCGAGGCACCCCTCAGAGTCCACGCCCACGGCGCCCGCGTCACCGACCTTCGCCTTTGGCGAGGACCTCACTCGGTTCCCCTCCGAATCCCTGCACTCGTTCTCCTTCGCGACCCAATCCGAAGAGTTTATACACAACCGCCAGAATGTTTTGAAGCGCTCCATTGAGTTCATGCGAGACAGGCTGGGCTGGGCTGCCACCAATCCCGGCATAGCCAACGCCCAAGCTAAACTCAGCGGCGATCAAGAAGTGCAGAGCATGATGGAGCTCCTTACCCGGGCAAACCTCATAGGTCAAGACGGCACAGGAGCCCATGGGCTGGGTGCGTTGGGCCCAGTGACAGGGCCCGCCGACATGTCTGGCGAGAACCCATTCGAGAAGGGATTCACAGTCGATCGATCAGCCAGCCCAGAAAGCATGCTCGAAGCAGCGAGACCCCCAGTACACAGGGCGACTACAGTCGATGTAGCCGACAACAGCAGCACGTCAGACTCTCGAGAGGGACGAAGCTCATCGAGTACCGATTTGACCTCCGACGCGTCGAGCACACGCGTAGCGGCCGCCTCTCCACCCCCACCGTCCTCGCAGCCTGCACGACCCCAACGAGCCGCACTCAAACGTACCCTCACCGACGTCGCGCCTCTTACGATACAAAGTCAGCTTCACGATGCCTTGGCACAGCCATACCGAGTTGGAGATCAGGAGAAGATCGGGGACCTCGTTTCTCCCGCGAGCATACCGACTCTGCCACCGAGTTTCAGCAATGCACCAGGGCCTCACTCTGCGGGATCAGCGCCGCATGGACACGGGAGCCGACACGCTCCAGCAGCACAGGCCATCTTTACTACCGAGACAGACACACCGTGGACTATCACATCCGCAAACGATTTGGCATGCTTGGTATTTGGAGTAACAAGGGCGGAGGTCCGTAAGCTGGGCATCCTCGAGGTCGTGCGTGAGGACCGCAGGAAATGGCTCGAGAGCAAGCTGAAGGATCCTGAAAGTGGCTCGAAGAACGCGCCGTCTGGAGTATCGGCTGCCAACAACAATCTCAAGGTCGGCAGCGGTGTCACAGCGCGGTTACTGAGCAAGGCTCCATCACGAGTGACAGCTGCGAGGAAAGCACAAACCGACGACGGCAGTGGATCTTCATACTACAACGCGAAAAAGACCGGCAAGCTCAACCATGAACACAAGGGCTCAAGGGGCGTCCTACTCTGTGGAGACGTTATTCCGATACAGAAACGCGACGGCTCGACTGGGTCGGCCAGCTTGTGGGTCAAAGAGAAACGGGGCAGTCTCATATGGGTGCTTGAAGAGATCGCCGAAGACGTTGTGTACATCACGGTCGACGAAACAGGCTGCGTATCCAAGGGCTGGGGCGCAACGGAAGCTGTCTTCGGGAGCGATCGGTTACGGAGGGGCATGGATCTCAAGCGTCTCATACCAGGTATACCACGACTCCGAGGAACAAACACTGGAGTACTAGACTACGACTCCATTGACGAGTTCCGCAGCTACACAGCTCGCACGTCGAACAGCATCAATATACCCGTGACTGTGGAAGCCTTGCCTGGCGAACCTACCTTCCGCATATCTAGCTTCCCTCACATCGCCGGCATCATTGTCCTATCGTCCGACGACCTCAAAATTACGAGTTCCAATTCCGTGTTCTCCGCGGCTCTGTTTGGACAGCCGCGACCTGAAGGTATCCACGTTAGCAAGCTCATACCCGCGTTCGACAGAATTCTGCACGTCATGACAGACGAGGACAAGATAGAGCTGGTTGACGGGATCGTTATTCCCGAACACAGCTTTCGTCGCGCACGAGCCCTGCTCGCAATGCGGGAAGGTAGTGCAGATGCCGCAGCCATCTTCCTGCGACCAAGTGGTCTGCCAGCCTTACATCGCGACGGATCAGAAATAATGGTTGACGTGCAAATGCGAGTTGTGAAGAGCGAAAAGTCGCCCCGATTTGATGAGAATGTCATTGAAGAGGAAGATGGGTCATCGAAACCAAACAAGGGTCCAGAGCTGGTCTACGCTTTGTGGATAACATACTCCAGGCAACTGCACGCTGCGAACCACGGTATCGGTCCAGTGACTCCCCTTATGTCACGGCCACCCTCACCCCGCCAACCAGAGCCAGGCCAGTCCAGTTTCTCCGTGCCACAAGAACCTGAATCACATCAATCGCAAGGAACACCGCCTACAGTATCACTCCTCACACAGCAGATTCAAGAAGCCATGCGGCCTAATACTCCGCAACAATCTCAGAAAGGAGCCATGGCACCGCCGCCAGCACCTGCACAGGATGAGCCATCCCAGAAGAAGACTATCAACGATTTTGTAGTGTTGGAGGATATGGGCCAAGGCGCCTATGGGCAAGTCAAGCTATGTCGATACAAGAAGAACAGCAACAAGAAGGTTGTGATCAAGTATGTTACGAAGCGGCGCATCTTGGTCGACACGTGGACACGAGACCGAAGGCTTGGAACTGTGCCGCTCGAGATTCACGTCCTGGACTATCTCCGCCGCGACGGCTTCAAACACCCTAATATTGTGGAAATGGCCGATTTCTTCGAGGATGACATCAACTACTACATCGAGATGATACCGCACGGTCTACCGGGCATGGACCTCTTCGACTATATTGAGTTACGTGTCAACATGGAAGAGAAAGAGTGCCGTAAGATCTTTGTTCAGGTCGCAGAAGCGGTACATCATCTGCACACTAAAGCGAAGGTCGTACATCGAGACATCAAGGATGAGAACGTCGTCCTCGACGGTGAAGGCAACATCAAGCTCATCGACTTTGGAAGCGCAGCGTACATCAAAAGCGGACCCTTTGACGTCTTTGTAGGCACAATTGGTATGTTCCCCGCCACTCTCGAATCCTTATGGTCATGCTAACGCTCCTCAGACTATGCTGCTCCAGAAGTCTTAGCTGGAAAAGCCTACCGCGGTAAAGAACAAGACGTCTGGGCCCTTGGCATCCTCCTTTACACCATCATATACAAAGAAAACCCCTTCTATTCCATCGATGAGATCATGGATCATGATCTCCGCGTACCGTGGGTCATGTCGGAAGAGAGCATCGATCTTGTGCGACTGATGCTAGATCGAAATGTGGAGAAAAGGATTACCATCAGCATGGTGCTCGAGCACCCTTGGTGCAAGGGCGCTGGTGCTGGCAGTGGGGTGGTTGGAGAAGCCGCTTGAGGGCCA